TAGCATGTCCAACTGCCAGACTGGAAAGAACAATCCCACTGGAGTGGGGAGAGAGGACATGGTGACAGAGAATGCAACAAGTAAAGCTAAAAGAAAGGGAAGGAATGGGAGTGGGTTCATAATCTGAAGGTGCTGAACTCAATATTGTGCCCAGAAGGTTGTAAACTGCCTCGTCTGAACATGAGATGTTGCTCCTTCGGTTTGCGCTGTGATTCGCTAGGGCATTGCAGCATGCCGAGGACAGACAAAAGGGCATGTGAGCAGGATGCTGTGTTAAAACGACCAGCTACGGGAAGGTTGGGGTCATGATTATGTATGGAATGAAAGTGTCCTGCAAAGCAGTCACCCAGCCTGTGTTTGGTTTCTCCAATGTAGAGTACGCCAGGTTGGGTGCAGTCAATGCAATAGACCAGATTGGAGGAGATACAGGTGAAATGGTGCTTCACCTGGGAAGACCATTCAGATGCTTGGATGGTGAGCAGGGAGGAGGTGAAGGGGCAGGTGTTGCACCTTCTGCAGCTATGTGGAGAGGTACCATGGGAAGGGGGAAGTGGTGTTGTTGGTCATCGAGGAATGGACGAGGGTGCCGTGGAGGGAAACATCCATTTGGAATGCAGACAGGGGAGTGAGCAGAAGATGTGTTTGATGGTGGCCCTCTACACTTCACATCAGTTCCGACGAACAGTCATCTAAGCTCGAAATGTTAGCTTGCTCTCTCTCCGCGGATGCTGCCTCACCCGCTGTGATTCCCAGCATTTTGTTTTCAGCAATGTTTCTAAGAATGACAAACAAGGACAATTTTCTTACAAGTAAAGTGTAGGTACAGAAGAGGGATTGTTCCACGTAACCTACAAAGAGGCAGGCATAGCTTGGGCCCATGCGGGTACCCACGGCCACCCACTTTGTCTGTAGGAGGTGGGAGGAATTGAAAGAGAAGTTGTTGAGGGTGAGGACGAGTTCGGCTAAGCGGATGAGGGTGTCAGTGGAGGGGGACTGGTCGGGCCTGCGGGACAAGAAGAAGCGGAGAGCCTTTAGGATCTGTATGGGGAATGCGGGTGTATAGGGACTGGACGTCCATGGTAAAGATGAGGTGTTGGGGGCCAGGGAATTGGAAGTTCTGGAGGAGGTGGAGGGCGTGGGTGGTGTCACGGACGGTTACGTGGAACAATCGCTCTTCCGCACCTACACTGGCCCTAAACCCCACCTCTTCCTCCATTACATTGATGACTGTATCGGCGCTGCCTCGTGCTCCCACGAGGAGATCGAACAATTCATCCACTTCACCAACACCTTCCACCCCAACCTTAAGTTCACCTGGACCATCTCTAATACCTCTCTCTCCTTCCTGGACCTCTCTGTCTCCATCTCCGGCAACCACCTAGAAACCGATATTCATTTCAAGCCCACCGACTCCCACAGCTACCTAGAATACACCTCCTCCCACCCACCTTCCTGCAAAAATGCCATCCCCTATTTCCAATTCCTTCGCCTCCGCCGCATCTGCTCCCAGCATGAGGCATTCCACTCCCGTACATCTCAGATGTCCTCATTTTTCAAGGGCCGCAACTTCCCCCCTCTCAGTGGTCGAGAACGCCCTCGACCGTGTATCCCGCATTTCCCGCAACTCATCCCTCACACCCCCTTCCCGCAATAACAACCAAAACAGAATCCCCCTCATCCTCACATACCACCCCACCAACCTCCGGATCCAACGCATCATCCTCCGACATTTCCGCCATCTGCAATCCGACCCCACAACCAAAGACATTTTTCCCTCCCCACCCTTATCTGCTTTCCGAAGGGACCAGTCGCTCCGTGACTCCCTTGTCCGCTCCACACTCCCCTCCAGCTCCACCACACCCGGCACTTTTCCCTGCAACCGCAGCAAGTGCTACACCTGCCCCTACACCTCTCCCCTCACCCCCATCCCAGGCCCCAAGAAGACTTTCCACATCAAGCACATGTTCACCTGCACATCTGCCAATGTGGTATACTTCGTCTGCTGTTCCCATTGTGGCCTCCTCTACATCGTGGAAACCAAGCGGAGGCTTGGGGACCACTTTGCAGAACACCTACGCTCGGTTCGCACTAAATAACTGCACCTCCCAGTCGCGAACCATTTCAACTCCCCCTCCCATTCCTCAGACGACATGTCCATCCTGGGTCTCCTGCAGTGCCACAACGATGTTAGCCGAAGGTTGCAGGAACAGCACCTCATATTCCGCTTGGGAACCCTGCAGCCCAATGGTATCAATGTGGACTTCACAAGCTTCAAAATCTCCCCTCCCCCTACCGCATCCCAAAACCAGCCCAGCTCGTCCCCGCCTGCCTAACCTGTCCTTCCTCCCACCTCAAGCCCCACCCCCATCTCCTACCTACTAACTTCATCCTGCCCCCTTGACCTGTCCGTCCTCCCTGGACTGACCTATCTCCTCCCTACCTCCCCACCTACACTCACCTTTACTGGCTCCATCCCCGCCTCTTTGACCTGTCTGTCTCCTCTCCACCTATCTTCTCCTCTATCCATCTTCTATCCGCCTCCCCCTCTCTCCCTATTTATTTCCGAACTTCCCCTCCCCCATTTCTGAAGAAGGGTCTAGGCCCAAAACGTCAGCTCTCCTGCTCCTCTGATGCTGCTTGGCCTGCTGTGTTCATCCAGCTCTACACCTTGTTATCTCAGATTCTCCAGCATCTGCAGTTCCTACTACCCCTTCCCTTTCATTCTGCCTGATTACCTTGAACTTGTCTAAGTGTCCGGCTATAACTTCTTCAATAATAGATTCTGAAATGTTCCCTGTGCCTGATGTTAAGCTAAGTGATCTGCAGTTTCTAATTGTATCTCCCTCCCTTTTTGAATAAGTGAGCTACATTTGCTAAAAGTCCAGTGGGATCTTTCCTGAATCAAAATTGTTTTGGAAATTAAAAGGAAAGCATCAACTATCACAAGCCACTGCTTTTAAGACCATATAATGAGGTCCACCAGGACCTGGGCATGTGTTAGCCTGTATCTCTAACAACTTACTCACTGCCATTTCTCCAGTGATAGAGGTTTTCCTGCTTTCCGCCCTCCTTTCCATTTCTTGATTTATTACTGTTTCTAGAATGTTAACTGTATCCTCTTCAATGAAAACTGATGCAAAATACCTGTTAAATTCTTCTGACAGATCTTTATATTTCATTATTAATTCTCCACGCTCACTTTCCGTCAGACTAATGCACATATTTTTTCTTTAATTATTTCTTAAAGCTCTTAGTTATCTGCTTTCATACTTCTGGCCAATGTTCTCTCTTACCCTAATTTTTCCATCCTTGTAAATTTCTAGTCATTCTTTGTTGTTTGTTCTATTCTGTCCATATTTCTGTCCTGCCACCTCCCTTTGTACAATTATAAGGTGTTTTTTTTCTTTTAGCTTGATACTATCTTTAACAATTCTGGTTATCCAAGTATACTGGATCCACCCCTTGGAATTTTTCTTGCTCATTCAATATATTTTGAAATATACTCTTAAGTGCTTATCATTGCATTTCCATTAATTTATACTTTATACTAATTTACCAATGAATTTCATGGCTGATAAATGTATCCCTACTTGCCCAATACTGTGTTGAAGGAACGTAGCTAAAATACCGGCAGGTGATAACTGCAACACAGTTTGTCTTGACATTAAACCCCATAAGATTCACCCTGATTTCCACACATTTAGTTGGAGCTCCACAAACTGCAATAAAATCAGTTCTCAATTCTGGACATTTCAATTCTTGAAATGGCTTCAACTAACAGAATTTTCAGGAAAAAACCCTCAAAAGTTGTTCTATTGACTTATTTATGTCATCTATTCACACAGCTTTGGAAGAAAAGTGTCAATTAAAATATCTATATTTAAAATGTGATTTCAAACAACCTACTTACAGCAAAATGATTTGAATGAGCATGAGAAATCTGAAATAATTCATTGTTCTGCAGTTAGTGTATAATTATATATACATTCTAAACATGCCTTATCACCCACTCTTCCTCACATAACAGCAAAAATATTTCAAGGCCTCTGCAACACAAAGGAGCTGTTAGGAACACTACAATAGGAGTAGGCCACTTAAATCCTTGAACCTGTTCCACCATTCAATGAGACTATGAACCATCTTTTGTCTCTTTAATTAATACAAATCAATCAATTTTAATTGTAACATTTGCAACATTGCTCTCCTATGGATTGCAATTTATGGAAGTAAAGTTCCAAACTTCTACTACCCAGGTGAAAAAAGGAAGTTTTTCCTTATTTCACTCCTGAAAGGTTTGACACAAAGCTGTGGATGACTCCCCTGATCCTAAATGCTTTGACAGCCAGTAGCAGTTTCTCCCAAACAACCCTATCAGCTCCACATTACATGTTGAGACCTTCAATTCATCTAAAATTTCTGAATTCAAATTCATAACTTAACCCTTAGAGCCCCAGTAACATTCTTGGGAATCTATACTGCAATCCCTCTGAAGCTAGTGTTTTGTTCTAAAGCAAAAACGGATATTGCTGGAGACTCAGCAGGTCTGGCAGCATCTGTGGAGACGAAGCAGAGTTAACATTTTGGGTCCAGTGACCCTTCATCAGAAAGTTATTCCAAAGGTTTGATGGCCAGAATTGTTTACACTAGAGTGGGAACATTCTTACTCGGATTTTGCGTCGTTGATTAATGACTTCTACCTTCTTGCCCTCTACAGATAAAAGCTGGCAATGGTCTTTTATTTATGTACCTGTTAATGGCATGTTAATGACATGTACCTGGAACCCCAAATCCCTTTGAACCCTCACTGTTTCTCCCTTTGCTTCATGTAGAAAGGATATAGTTCTTTCTGTTTTAGTGCAAAGGGATGAAATCACAGCTGCCCACATTTAAATCCCTTGGCCTTAACCGCAGTCTTGCGCACTCACTGGAACTAAAGTTTGCACATTCTTTTAAAATGAAATTTCTTCAGCCATCAACCTCATAAATGTTTTAAACAATACCTCATCACCAGTCTGGGGTCGCATCAGAGAAACTCGATGATACTGTCTCCGCAACAGTGCCCACAGTGCATCAAGCCTGCCCTATAATTAAAAGAAAAGCCATTTAAGTTCAGATGATCTTTTCTGCTGTAAAACAGAAGTTAGGAGCCAATGATCCCCTGTATATAAAGTTGTTAGGGAAAGGCTATAGTGAAGCCAACTGCCCCACAGTGATTGGCTAGGGACTGACTGAAGGTGGCAATTCAAACATACCCCACCCCAGGACAGAAAGTCCCGCTCAAAGAGATGTCACCAAATCAGAATGCAGGTAGCTGCAAAACCCTTCCAGACAGAGGTGTGAGACTTTGGATTAGGCTTTGAGTTAGGCCCATAGGGGTTGAGAAGCCAAAGGAAAGCCAGGGTTCTACGAGAAGTTTGAATGGGTCTGTTAAGGAAGAACGCCCTCACCCATTTGCATACCCGACATGAGCTTGCAAATAGAAATCTGTTTGGAGACGGCCACTCCTGCTGCCACTTGCTGGGTGGATGAGGCCCTCAAGTTGGAACTAATTACCCACTTAAGGACCTAAATTGGCCCACTGGCAACTTAGAATACCAATGCCACCCTTGCCGCTGGAATAAATGCAGCATGGACATCAGCTACGTGTGCCTGCTCTGAAACCCACCCCAGCTTTCAAACTCTCCAGCAGGGCAAGTAAAATCTAACTCTAAAACACCACATGGTTCCAATTTGTTCTAATATTCCTTTCCTTTCTACCGATGCAGGTTATGAATCATATCAAGTAAACTGGTTCTCACTTTTTTTGTCGTTCTTACTCACCTTTTTGTCTTGTCTTTCTTTTCATAAAGCAATACTAACAGATCGCTGACATTTCTTAATATATAGAACATAGAACATAGAACATAGAACATTACAGCGCAGTACAGGCCCTTCGGCCCTCGATGTTGCGCCGACCTGTGAAAACCAATCTGAAGCCCATCTAACCTAAACTATTCCATTATCATCCATATGTTTATCCAATGACCATTTAAATGCCCTTAAAGTGGGCGAGTCTACTATTTTTGCAGGCAGGGCATTCCACGCCCTTACTACTCTCTGAGTAAAGAACCTAACTCTGACATCTGTCCTATATCTATCACCCCTCAATTTAAAGCTATGTCCCCTCGTGCTAGCCATCACCATCCGAGGAAAAAGGCTCCCACTGTCCACCCTATCTAATCCTCTGATCATCTTGTATGTCTCTATCAAGTCACCTCTTAACCTTCTTCTCTCTAATGAAAACAGCCTCAAAACCCTCAGCCTTTCCTCATAAGACCTTCCCTCCATACCAGGCAACATCCTGGTAAATCTCCTCTGCACCCTTTCCAATGCTTCCACATCCTTCCTATAATGCGGTGACCAGAACTGTACGCAATACTCCAAGTGCGGCCGCACCAGAGTTTTGTACAGCTGCAACATGACCTCATGGCTCCGAAACTCAATCCCTCTACCAATAAAACCTAACATACTGTACGCCTTCTTAACAACGCTATCAACCTGGGTGGCAACTTTCAGTGATCTATGCACATGGACACCGAGATCTTTCTGCTCATCCACACTACCAAGAATCTTACCATTAGCCCAGTACTCTGTATTCCTGTTACTCCTTCCAAAGTGAATCACTTCACACTTTTCCGCATTAAACTCCATTTGCCACCTCTCAGCCCAGCTCTGCAGCTTATCTATGTCCCTCTGTAACCTACAACATCCTTCTGCACTATCCACAACTCCACCGACTTTGGTGTCATCCGCAAATTTACTAACCCATCCTTCTACGCCCTCATCCAGGTCATTTATAAAAATGACAAACAGCAGTGGCCCCAAAACAGATCCTTGAGGTACACCACTAGTAACTGAACTCCAGGATGAACATTTCCCATCAACCACCACCCTCTGTCTTCTTACAGCTAGCCAATTTCTGATCCAAACCGCTAAATCACCCTCAATCCCATGCCTCCGTATTTTCTGCAATAGCCTACCATGGGGAACCTTATCAAACGCTTTACTGAAATCCAAATACACCACATCAACCGCTTTACCCTCATCCACCTGTTTGGTCACCTTCTCGAAGAACTCAATAAGGTTTGTGAGGCACGACCTACCCTTCACAAAACCGTGTTGACTATCCCTAATCAAATTATTCCTTTCTAGATGATTATAAATCCTATCTCTTATAATCCTTTCCAACACTTTACCCACAACCAAAGTAAGGCTCACTGGTCTATAATTACCAGGGTTGTCTCTACTCCCCTTCTTGAACAAGGGGACAACATTTGCTAGTCTCCAGTCTTCTGGCACTATTCCTGAAGACAATGACGACATAAAGATCAAAGCCAAAGGCTCCGCAATCTCCTCTCTAGCTTCCCAGAGAATCCTAGGATAAATCCCATCCGGCCCAGGGGACTTATCTATTTTCACACCTTCCAGAATTGCTAACACCTCCTCCTTATGAACCTTAATCCCGTCCAGTCTAATAGCCTGTATCCCAGTATTCTCCTCAACTACATTGTCTTTTTCCTGTGTGAATACTGACGAAAAATATTCATTTAGCACCTCTCCTATCTCTTCAGACTCCACGCACAACTTCCCACGACTGTCCTTGACCGGCCCCAATCTTACTCTAGTCATTCTTTTATTCCTGACATACCTATAGAAAGCTTTAGGATTTTCCTTGATCCTACCTGCTAAAGACTTCTCATGTCCCCTCCTGGCTCTTCTTAGCTCTCTCTTTAGGTCCTTCCTGGCTAACTTGTAACTCTCAAGCGCCCTAACTGAGCCTTCACGCCTCATCTCTATAATCAAGATTGATGTCAATACACCTCTAGTACTTGGCCATTGAATCTTTAACCAGTTTCATATGTTCCACGATGGCCCTGCTGAAGCACAATGTTTTCTTACTGAATGGAATAGATCTCAGTAGATAGTGATAAATTACCTTAATTGGATCATACCACTGTGGTGTAGGAGGGTGATTAGAAGGTGGAGATTTAGGCTGTCTTGGAGTAAGAGGTTCCTCTTCTACTTCTGGAAGTTTTACAACAGCATTTTTGGCCTTTTCTAGTCTTGCCCCTTCATCAGTGGATCCTTTATCCCCCCACCGGACCTTGTAGAAAAAAGCAATGTTGTTTGAGGAAATGTACACAGATGTGGTCATGAGCTCATAACAGTTACTATTCAAATGCTGATGCACAATATTCACAAACTATTGACTTAAAATAATGGTTACTGCTAAGTTATCAGCACTTCAAAAACTGTTTACCATTGCTCAAAATTACAGCTGCATTGAGGGACGTAGCATTCTACAATTCAAGCTGACATTTGCACATTAATGTTACACTCTATATTGACGGAAGTAGAACCAAAAGGAAGAATTGAGAGATAGCAGTGGTACATGTACCCCAGACCAGCAATTTAATTATCAAATCTTACACCAAATGAAAAGAAACAATTATAGGAACGTATCCAACAGACTGGAAATACTAAGAAAGGAGCATATACCTATAGGTCCCATAGAGTCCTGTAGTCTGTCTCCATTTAACTAATAAGTTGCTTTATAAAAACTGAAAGAACTGCAGATGCTGTAAATCAGGAACAAAAATAAATTTGCTAGAAAAGCTTAGCAGGTCTGAGGAAGGGTCACTGGACCCGAAACGTTAACTTTGATTTTTTCTTCACAGATGTTGCCAGACCTGCTGAGCTTTTCCAGCAAATTTGTTTTTGTTCCTAATAAGTTGCTTTACCTGTCTTCCTTTTCCAAGTTCATATTCTCTACATTATATTCCGTGTGACAAAATTTTATTCATCCACGAGCTATCTAAATCTGTTTATGCATTCTTCATATCCTTTTCTCTTTAATTTGTTACAGTCTTTTATTTCTTTAGTTTGTTATGGATGGTGCAAACTTCTCACTGAGTCTTTCCACCTTAATGGAATATATCTTTGCTCAGAGCTGTGAAATATTTCCTTAATTTCCTGCCACTTATCCTCTACTGTCCCATTTTAACATATTCTTGCAAACACTTTATCCAACTCAGCTGTTAAGACACTAATCTTGTTCCCACACTTCTCACCCTCAACTGAATGTGAAACTATATATGTTATGATCACTGTTGCCTTGGTACTCCTTTATTATGAGATCATTAATTAACCTGTTTCAATGCATAATATCAAAGAAAGACACCAATTTCCTTGTTCCTGCTTCTCCAGACTACCGAAAGGAAATTATGTCCGAATATACCCTCAAATTGATGTGTCAAGCCAAAATAATTAATGTCAAGGTTTTTCGCTTTGCTACCTTAAGCGTGTCACTGATTGTTTAACTTGATATCAAGACTAATCAAGATGTTCTCAAAGATCGCAAGCATTGGAAACACCCAAAACCAGTAGGCCACTTAGCACTGAAATGAGAAGAAATTTCTTCATCCAAAGAGTGGTAAGCCTGTAGATTTCTCTGCTACAGAAAGCAGTTGAGGCCAAAATATTGAATGTTTTCATGAAGAGTCAGATATAGTTCTCAGGTTAAAAGAGGGAACAAGGTAGTGAGTTGGATGATCAGTCATGATTATAATGAATTATGGAACAGGTTTGAAGGGCCTACTCCTGCCCCTATTTTCTGTGTTTCTATGTTTGGCACCTAGTTATGAGAAAAATATTATGTACAGAAAACAAAAAAATGTACAGTTTTTTTTAAGTCAAAATACAAGAGGATGCATTAAAAACAATTATTAAATAACACCATTAGAGCTGAACCATAATTTTTATTCAAACAAATTTTTGATGACAGTTTATTGTACATTTTCACGACTGCTGCATTATTCCCTAAAAGCTAAGCTGTTGATTTCCACTTCTAAATTTGCAACTTTCTTTCTCAAAGGGCACGGCGTGAATTCAATTGTCAAATTTAAATCTGAGCTAGACAAATTTTAACAAGCAAGGGTATCAAGGGATATGGACCCAAGGCAGGTATATGGAGTTAGGCCATATATCAGCCATGATTCTACAGCATGGTGGAAAAGGCTTGAGGGCCTACTCCTGTTCCTATGTTCATTTGGGAGCCACAGGTCCAAACTCTCATTATTTTCCTTACAAGAATGCAAGGTTTATCATAAGACATGTCACAGATTACTTAAAGATTTTCTTTAACCAACTTGTCAGAGATGCTTTACATGCCTCTGGAGTAGAGGAGACTTGAACCCAAGCCATCCGGCTGAGAGGTAGGGACACAACCACTGCACCACAAGAGCCCTCTCAGATTACCTATACACTGTACCTAAATATGATATTTTCTGAAAACAATCTATTGGGCATGTTGATCTAGGTTTTCCAATCATATTGGTATTATAATCAGAAAAGGTAAGTCCACTGAGCACACCTTATTAGATATTTTTGTTGTTTCCTGAGTGTTTATAATTTCACCTTACCTGAAAACAGAGAAAAGGAACATATACCTCTAATTCAGATGGAGTGGTATAGTATTAAGAAAACAATTTTAAACACTGGATCCCAAAACTAACGACTAAGACAAATCCCACAGGTTCTTAACATTCACATCAACATATTTACAGGATATGCCGTCAATTGTGTTTCGTTTAGTCCACATTTCTTTACTATCCTCACCTATCTTATTAAGATGTAAAATATTGAGGTTTTGGGGATTTGAGGGATTCTGAATGGCAGAAGCTTAGTCCAATGTCTCCATGTGCCGAGGCCTTCCCTGGGAATTCGACCTCACTAAAGCAATTTAACCATTCAACGAGAGGCAAGTCTAATATTTTCAACTCAACCAAACAGTACAACGATGAGAAATAAATTTCATAACACACCTCCATTCTTTTAATGCCACCAACACCTCTACCGCCATAGTATGAAGCATCAACGGTTGGCCATTTCTTCTTTGGCACTGGTTCTGGGTCAGGTTCCTGTATATTAATACAACAAAACGTTCTTAATTTGCAAAGTAAGAGTGTATTTAAATCTATCAACATGTTTCTTCAGCCTTACTATATATAAACACAATTTCCCTTTGTGACTTATGAGAAGGTACAGCAAGTGAGAAGGTATAGGAGTAAAGGGAAGGAACAGTCCATGTGGAATATTGACAGAGGAGGGGAGGGGAAAATGGGTTTGATGGGGGTGTCCAGCTGGGAGTGGCAGAAATGATAGACTGAACGATTCTCTCTGAATGAGGAGACTGGTGTGGTGGAAAGTGAGGACAAGGGGAATCCTCTTTTTTTGTTCTGGGAGGGAGGGGAAGCATTGAGCACAAAATTGCAGGAAATGGGTCAGACATAGCTGAGTGTCTTGTCAACCAGAGTGGGGGAAACCTTGGCTGAGGAAAAAGGCAGGCATGTCAGTGGCACCACAGTGGAAGGTGGCATCATCAGAGCTGATATGATGGAAATGGAGAAAGAGGGAGAATGGAATGGAGTTCTTATTAAAAAAAATGGTGTGAGGAGATGTAGTTGATGTAACTGTGAAATGCTATACATTTTAATGAAACTGTAACTGAACCACAGGTGTGGCTGAAGAAAATGAACATAAGCAGAATTATGGTAATGGAGAAATTCAGGGAACTAAAGAGGGACAAATCCCCAGAACAAAATGGCTTTAAAGGGGGTAGGCGAGAACAGTACAGATGATCTAACTATATCTTCCGAAATTCGTTCTAATCAGGAATGAGTAATTTAGATTAGTAAACTGAACATGTAATTTCACAATTTAAGAAAAGTAACAGTAAAACAAGGATGTTAACCTAACATCTGCTGTCGAGGCACAGAAAGAAAGAGAGAGAGAGAGATGGTTGGGAAGTATAGCTGGGTATCTTCAGCATACATATGAAAACTAATGCCATACTTTTGGATGATGTTGCTGAGGGGCTGCATGTAGATGTGAAGTCAAGAACTGGTCCTGCAGGGACACCAGAGAGAACAGAACCAGATGACAGTGGTCCTACCCAGGTGGATGGCAGGTGCTGGACAAAGATGCTACATCCCTGTTTCAAAAGGTTGCAGACTGATCCATATGGATGAAGAACATGAGTTTTATTCTGTTTTGTCACGGACATATAACAAGACATTTGTGACTTTAACAAAAACAGTTTTGGCACTATCGTAGGATCAGAAACCTGATTGCAGGGCGACAAATACATACTTACAGGAAAGACGGGTATGGATTTTTGGTGTGATAACACTTTCACGTATTTTCAAGTGGAAAGGGAAGTTGGAGATTGGGCATTAGTTTACAAGCACAATGTGGCACAGGGATAGTTTATTGAGGAGAGGCGTGATGATGGCACATTTACATAAGAGATAGACATCTCACTCAATTTCACTGAATGACAGAAATAAATCAAATAGATCCTATGTTCTTAAGTTTGATATTTATAATATTCTAACACATATCTGCTTTGCACTTTGTACATATGAGGCTAGCCAATAAGAGTTATAAGAAGACATTCAGACCATAAGACTATAAATCAATGCTACTTCTTTAGTGTTTGCATTGTTCATCATCAACAACACTTTAACACAATGCAACATTCACATACCTCTTTTGGAGGGGGTGGAGGAGGGGGAGGATCTTTTATGACCTGAAACCAGACAAAAAAACAAAAATTATTTATGTAACAGCAATGACATAAATTAAGAATTCCATTTCTGCGATTTGTTCCCAACTGCTGTGTCTTTTCCTTCTCACCTATTAGTATATTCTCAGAGAGCTAACTGGTGTGTATTCTCCTGTGACTATTAATTAATAAGACTTTGTGCAAGTTAGTACTGAGTTGCTCATCTCAAATCAAAGAAACCCATTAGCAGGCTCACTTCAATGCATCGATTTAAGTGAAAATTAATTGAACAAGTGTTACTACTTCAGAAGGATCCTGATCATGAGAACTTTGTGATGTCAGTTGGACTACAGATAACTGCTGTGCAACAATAATGATTTTTGAATATATGGAATATGTTTTAGGAACCAAGACTTAGATTACATACCAGCCACAAGGACTATTGTGCCCCTCAAGTTGCAGGCCTACAAACTTCAAACCTACTAACTTGCAAAATTAAGCCAAATAAGCTTTTCTGGAAAGGTATAAAACACACCTGCAATGCTTATGAATAAAGTTTTAAATGCTTCTCTGCTGAGTTACTGTCCCCTTTCAAAGGCATTAGTTTCACCTCTTTTCTAAAATGCACCCTCTATGTTAGTCATATGCTTCATCTCCAATGCTCTTTACCCCTTTAGGGACCATTGTCACCTCCCAAGTCCATGCTCATCCACGGTCCTCTGGGACCTTGGTGACTTTCACTTCCACTTCCACACCCACACAGCTTGGAACTGCAAATGTTCTGCTACCCAAAGCAATATAGCATAGTCACTGCTTTCATTATGACTCTAGCGGTGGTGCTTCATCCCTTCCTAAACTGTCTGGAGCCTTTAATATATCTGACCACTATCACCTTTTAATGCCACTCCTCTCAGGAACCTTTGCTTGATTCCACTGTTACAGATACAATCATAATCAAAGAATCTCCAGCAACCACTTATTTTCATGTGAAACCTAAAAACACCCAAGTCTACCTCTTCACAAGTTCTCTTCACTCTTGTTTCTGTTCTGGTCTCCATTAACTTCCTCAAGTGAAACCAAAATTATTGTCTTCAGCCCAATCCATAAACTGAAAAGAAAACTAACAAATCCCCCGGCCCTGCTGATTTCTATCGGGGTTTCCAATCTCTTCTTCATGATGGGGTTGAAAGCTTCCCCTCCTTTGAGACTGCATCATGCAGTGAAGCTGAGGCCCAGCTCATGACTTGCCCTGACTTTGTCCTGTTCACCCCTTAGTCCATCTTTCCGGGCCTGGGCTGGTATAGCTGTCAGAACTCACCCCTAACAACCCCAGCACTGCAGGTAGCCTGGGCTACAACATCAGCCATTTCAACATCCTCCACTTGCATTTCCACTGTTTCCAACCAGCTTCCATCAACTGGAGCAAATCACAATGAAGAAATGGGCTTTACATAAAATAATTACATTTTAATGCAGTATTTAAAAACATACAAGAAAATAAACGGTGGTAGATAACATATAGTGTGGGAAAATATGAAGTTATTCACTTTAAAAAGGGCTAATTAGGAAAATTGAACACATTTTCAATAATTGAAACGATTAAATGTTGTTGATGTGAATTTGGGTTTCTTTGTTCAAAGACATACAAAATGTTATCACAACAGTTATACCAAGCAATTATGAAAGCAAATATTATAACTTTAATTCCAAGAGGTAGGTTTACAGCGGTAAGAAGTGTGATGGTGCTGAGATCATATCTGGAGTGTAACATGTAGTTACCTCCAAAACAGTATATGCTTTATTTTTCTCTGGTGATGCTGTGCTGACTAGTATAAATGATATGATAAAGAAAACGGAAGTGGAATATCAGGCTGTGATGACAGTGAAGGAATCTCTGTTACTAAAAGTGTTCAAAATTGGCAAGGAGGTAGTGTTGGAGACTGCTGGCACTTAAAGTGACAAGGCACCGGAACTGGACGATACGTATACAATGGACAATGAAGGAAATACGAGTGGAAATTGCAGGGTCATAATCTTTCAGTCTGCCCTAAACTCAGGGGACGTTCCAGAAGGCTGGAGAATTACAAACATCAGTTTAACTTCAGTGGTAGGAAGAAGTAGTCAATGTGGCAGGACAGTAGAGACAGCTATTAATGAAACATACAGTGTTGTGGGTTTTATTAACAGGAACAAGAATGGGCTATTCAGCCACTCAAGCCTGTTCCACCATTCGATGATATCATGATTGATTTGTGGCTTAACTCCACTTACCTGCCTTTGGCCATATTCCTTTGCTTAACAATCTCAGATTTAAGATTAACAACCAGTCTAGTACCAGTGTAATTTGTGAAAGAGAGTTCCAAACTTCTACCACCCTGTGTGTGTGGAAGTGCTTCCTAACATCTCTTCTGAACAGTCTGGCCCTAATTCTCAGACTATGCCATCTAATTCTAGAATCTCCAACCAGTTTACCTTTATCTACCCTGTCTTTTCCTGTTAATATCATGAAGATGTCAATCAGATCACCCTTTAATCTTCTAAATTCTAGAGAAAATATAACCTTATAACTTCGCCCCTGAAATCCAGGTATCATTCTTATAAACCTACATTGTAATCCCTCCAAACCAATATATCCTTCCTAAGATGTGGTGCCCAGATCTGCTTACAGTACTCCAAGAGAGGTCTGACCAGGGTTTTGTACAACTGCCGCATAACATCTGCATCCTTATATTCCAGTCCTCTAGATATAAAGGCCAGCATTCCATTAGCTTCCTGATTATTTTCTGTACCTGTTTGTGATATTTTAAAGATCTATGCATCTGAATAATAGAGGCAAAGAGGTTTGCTATACTATACAAGAGGAAGGCAATGGCCTAGTGGTATTATTGCTGGACTGTTAATCCAGAGACCCAGGTAATGTTCAGGGACACAGGTTCAAACCCTGCCATGGCAGATGGTGGAATGTGATTTCAATAAAAGAATCTGGAATTAATGACGACCGACAATCCATTCTCAATTGTTGAAAATACGTATCTGGTTTCTCCCTTCAGGCCATCCTTACCTGGTCTGGCCTACATGTGGCTCCAGACCCACAGCAATGTGGTTGACTCTTAACTGCCTTCTGGGCAATTAGGGATGAGCAATAAATGCTGCCCTAACCAATGATGTCCTCATCACAACAACGATTAAAACATAGGAAAAAAGCCTGTTAGATCAATACGTGAAGTATTGTGTATAGTTCTGGCTCATTGGGAGGATTAGAACAGATTATTGGCTTTGAGGATAGGTTGCAGAGATTTTTTTTTAAAATCACCCCTGGGATGTGACGTTGCTGGCTAGGCAGCATTTATTGCCCGTCCCTGATTGCCCAGAGGGCAGTTTAAGAGTCAACCACATTGCTGTGGGTCTGGAGTCACAAGTAGGCCAGACCAGGTGAGGATGGCAGTTTCCTTCCCTAAAGGACATTAGGATTGTTGTCCCTTGAACAGGAGAGGCTAAGAGGACATTTGATAGAAGTTTTCAAAATCACTACTGGTCTGGGCAGACTAGACAGAGAGAAATTGTTCCCACTCATCAGAGGTTTGAGAACAAAAAGGCACAAACCAGAAGTGAATTGCAAAAGTAGATATGTGATCTCAGGAAAATTCTTTCCACAGAACGAGTAGCTTGGATCTGAAGTGTACTGCTTGTAAAGGGTAATGGAGGCAGGTTCAAGTGGAAGCCCATTCGAGACTATTTGAATAGAAATAAGATGCAAGATACAGGGAAAAGGCAGGAGAATGGCACTAAGTCATCATGCTCATTCGGAGAGCCATAAAAAACACAGCGGGTTAAATGGCCACTTTCTGCAACTCTGTGATTCTGTCAATACCTCAGAAACCACTTTGCAGCTAGTTGTTTTTGAATCTAACTGTTAAATGTGACAGCGATTATAATCGTCACTTCTCTAAAGATATGATAAGTTTCACTCCATATGTCGTGTTTTGTGCTCTGACATACAGGAAGCTCTGTTGCCCTGAAGCTTTAATTAAAAAAATAACTCAGTGCAGTGAATCCACTTGAATACAAAATAAACCTAAAAAATAAGTGCATAAAACTTTTACTCTTCACTTGAATACCGTTACGCAAGGAGGTAAGTCTTGCATTAAATAATAAATTTCTGGACAAAATACAATCACAGAGCAGAACCTTCTCTCCAGGGTCAGGAAAAAGGAATTCAGACTATTCCCGGATCCTGAGCCCATCCCATGGTGAATCAGTCACTCTTTAGGATTTTCATGAAGGTGCATCCTTCGTTGACATGGAGGCAGGTTTTTTGTCCATTGAAGTGTGGCAGCCAGATTCTTAAAGGAGGACCAATCAGAAGCCTTCTAACTTGACAGGCCCCGGCAGACTGCTTCAGAGGGCGATCACAAGCCTCATTGGACAACTGGCAACCCGCCTTCCCTGGTTAATCTGCCCCTCTTTGTGTCAGAAATTCCCAAGCAATCTCCCTTCAAAAAGATTACCACTATTCCTAATGAGCCGAACTGGTTGTCCACCCCACAGTTCAGCCTTACTAGCCTGAAGCCACCTTGTCAAAAATCGCCCGTGCTAGCAATAGGCTCGAGTAAGTAGCACATTGGTATTTTTGGTCCGTTCCAACTTTGATGGGGCCAGAAAATTCTACTATTGAATGGTTACAGTACACAAGGAGGCCATTCGACCTGTTGAGTCCATGCTGGCTCTCTGCGAGAGTTATTTGATAATCCCAACCACTGAACAGAGTCAAGAGCCTTTTGGATGTCCATACATGCAGATCAACTACATTCCGTTATCAGCAGAGTTTCTTTATAAGATTACAACAAGTTAATTTCAATACAGGATTTGCTTTAATAAATCCTTATTAGCTTTCCTGAATTAGCCTACCGTTATCCAATATTTTCATTACACTCATTTGTTTTTCATTTGTATTTACAACCTGACATCTGTCACACATATCTTTTTTTCTGTTTCACCTCGCTTTCTATCTCTGTATCGAGAGATCGCTGTCCCTGTTTGCTCTGCCTTTCACCCCTGTAGGAATTAACTGGAGTGCAGCACAGTCACCACACCTTAAAGGCATAGTCTTGCCTGCTAATCTTTCATTCAAATTTACCCAGAATGGATTCTTTCTCAAACCACCAAAATTGGCCCTCCTTAAATAAATTTTTTTAACTCTAGATTGATCCTAGTCCATTTCTGTGGCCAACCTAAATCTATGATGGCACTTGTGGCATTATGTTCACCAAATACTCCTTTAGATACTTTGTCTACTCGAATGCCTAGACCCAGATTGAGCAATGTCACTTTCCTTATTAGGCAATAAATGTGCTTGTCAAAAAATTCTCCTGAATGGACTTCATAAAGTCTTCTTATTCTCTACTATCATTATTATCCTGGGCTGTAGTAGAACAATGAAACACACCCATTATCATGAATCTACAGTTTCTCCATCTCCTTGTAGTTACTTTGCAAATTTGTTCTTCTTTGTTTAAGCATCATTCCACCCCAAAGAACAGAAGTTTTTTTTTATGAAAAGCCATCATATTATGTCATAGAAGTAGGCCATTCAACCTGTTGTGCTGATTCTTTATGAATGCTGTCTAATTACAAAGAATTTACAAGACTGCTGTTGGCGATTCAGCGTACTGATTAATGCTGCCATCCTCTCACTGCTTCATTAACCCTTTCACCATACCCTTTCTCTTCTTTTCTTCCTCACATACTGATCTCTGAGCCCCATGAATGTATCTGTATTATTCAATGATATAACGATGCAGTAAATCATCCCACTATGCTGCTTTTTCTGCTTGCCCTTGCATTGTTTTCTGTCCTTTCTGAATGCAGATCCAATTCTCTTTTGAAAGTTATCACTGAAACTGCTTCTTTCATTCCTTCAGGTATGACATTCAAACATTAAACATCATGATTAAAATTTCACAAGCTCTGACTGACGAGTTCTTTACATTACATATCGGTAAACTAATCACTGACTCAATTCTTTTACATCTGAGTAAGTGTAAAGTTGTGCACTGTCATTATTTTCCGGCGTTTAACTTAGCAGTTCCCAAGCTCACTTCTATTCATTGCTGATTTGAGCATAAAACTATAGAATCTGAAGCAAAGTAGACCAAGGGAACTGCAGCATATTAGTCGTTGAATCTAACCGCAGAACAATAATGTTCTGTCAAGAATGATGTAGAAATGTGTGCTATTCAGAACTGGTTTTGACTACAACTGGTACAAGTATGAAAAGAGTTACACCATATGTTTTCTGAACTTTTTCAACTTTGATTCATTTTTTTATTCATTCACGGGATAATAGTGTTGCTGGCTAGGCAGCATGCATTGCCGATCCCTAATTGCCCAGAGGGCAATTAAAGAGTCAACCACATTGGGGTGGGTCTGGAGCCACACGTAGGCCAGACCAGGTAAGGATAGCACTTTCCTTCCTTAAAGGACAGGTGGGTTTCTCACAACAATTGACAACGGTCGTTGTTAGACTCTTAATTCCAGATTATATTTATTTTATTAAATTCATGGGTCCCCAGAACATTAGCTGGGTGACTGGATTAACAATCCAGTGATAATACCACTAGGCTGTCACCTCCCCCTATACGTGTCATATATAAAAATCCAGTGTAGATTGGACATTCAATTTAACCTGCTTTACACTTTTGGGTACTCTTGGTGAAAGTCAAATTTGTTTTAAAATTCACACACTGTCTCAAAGTGAATTTACTAATACTCACCACCATGCAGCAGAGAGGCCAGAACCACCAGAGCAATGCGAGTCCAATTAGCAGAAAGATAGTGAATATAGCGATGATTACAGCTGTCCCATCAGACTGAAAGGAAGCAGAAGTTAGTAGGCTTTATTTTAATGCATTTTAAGCATTACACACATTGTGAACATGTTTGTTACATTGAATTTAAATCCCAATCACTTTTAAGTTGTTGTAAAAACAAATCAGAAGAGCATGACAGAAAATAAATGATTCTTACACTGGTGCTAGAGAGATAACACTTAGAAAAGCAAGCTTAAGAAATAATGAAAAATGCAATGGGTGAGGAAAAGAATGGGGGCCATTTATAAACATCACAATGGTTGCTACAATTATTTTTATCCCCAAAGCTTGAGTGCAACAGAACTTCCTGTCTGTCAGCACAAAATAGAACATGCTGAACAGAACTTATCTCACCTTTGGAGGAAAGCCGATAATAATCGCTACAACATTTAACAGTTAGGTGCAGAGTGAAACAACTTCCTGCAAGAATAGCTTCTGAGACAGTCACAGAATCATAGAAGTATTATGGGACAGAAGGATGCCATTTGGTCCATCATACCTGCATAGTTTCTCTGAGTATTTTAATATAGTGCCCATCTCCTGCCTCTTCCCTGTAATTCTGTTTAGTGTTTCTATCCAAACAATCATTCAAAGCCACATTGAAGGCCATGCTTTCTATACTAAAACTACTTGCTGTGTGAGAAAAACAGTTCTCAATTTCCAGTTGCTTCTCTTGCAAAACAGGGACAATGGCTGGAAGAGAAAGACTTGCATTTATATAATACCTAAGCCAATAAAGTGCTTCTGAAATGTCTTATTATTATCATTATCTAGGAAATGCAGCTGCCAGAAGGCAGAAATATTTTCACAGTTAGCAGACACAAAAAAAAACCGAAAGAACTACAGGTGCTGAAAATCAGAAACAAAACTTTGCCGGTCAGGCAGCATCAGTTCTGCAGAAGGGTCACTGGACCTGAAACGTTAACTCTGCTTTCTCTCCACAGATGCCGCCAGACCTGCTGTGTTTTTCCAGCAATTTCTGTTTCCAAGTTAGCAGAAACCTGTTGCTAATGCGTACAAGTTAGCTGTCACCTTACTTGGCACATACAACCTCATCCTTTATTTTAGCCTGTCACGTGTTAAACCCTTACCCTTCAGCCTTGGTAAATGATGCGAATGAACTGAGGTGCTTTTTAATACTAGCAATTTCTGTACTAGCCTTCAAGCAAATTACAACGTATCTCTTGTTAATGGACAAGTTATTCCTTATATTTGCAAACAATTATAATGGATCTTTCTTTTTTGGTGAAAATTCTGACACAGAAATTTGACTACATTACAGCTAAAATTCAATGGAAATATTGTATGTATACTTTTGAAAGGAAAATACAGTGAGTGTCCAGTACAGTGATGACGGATACAAGGCGGAGGTTTCAAATTGTTGAAACAATGTGAATAAAAAGACATTTAATTGAAACACATAACTCGTGCCATGATCACAAGATTAATGTGGTGTTTTCAATCCATCTAGCCATTATCACCTCATCTCAGCAGCATTCATGGTAATTATCACAAAATTAATGATAATTAGCCTCAGATGTTTGTTTAAGCACAACTGGATAGGAAAAGTTGTTCTGCAGTATTAAAATGGGTAAGAGTGATGTGTTACAAGATTGATGTAAAGTTGCGATGAGTAAGAATGATGCGTTATGGCAATTGCAGGCTAAGATCTGAGAAGACACTGGTGTAGTGGACTTCACATTGTGAGGATAGCTCAAAGACAAGGACAAGTTGACGTCATTTATGCGCACTTTCGGTGACACTGAAGGAGGAGCTAGGAAGAGAGCAGATATAATCAGTGATTCCAAACTCGAATCTAATGTACAGAACTGGCTTGTAAAAACAGCAGGCACAAAGAACACCCAGCTCGGAACCTATGGTGAGGACACTGGCAGAGAACTATAGCATTGGACTGAGTTTCTGGTTAATCATGGCTGGCTCAACAGATTCAAGAGGTGACGTGAGATCCAACAATTCAAGACTTCTGCAGAGGTAACATCTTGTAGATGTTACCTCTGCAGAAGCTGCAGCTACCACCTATGCCCTGGAATGAAAGCTTGCTTGGAGGAAGTGAATAATGCGCCCGAGATAGGATTATTTTGTAAGATTCTGCCTGATATCACCCTGGCAGTCAAGACTTGAGGATTTAAGCAATGCAGGAACTAAGTGATACTCCTGTCAGCTTTTCAGAAGACCGCAAACCACAAGCTAATGCTGTTGGTGACTGGGAAGTCCAGGAAATCTGGACTTGATCTTCTGAATATGAACTCCCTACTAGAGATTGGAGTAGAGCAATAATGAGGCATGGACAATAGGGGTGATATTCAAGGACTTGTTTTACCAAGTATTTTCTGCCCAGTATTAGGAGGCACTTGATTTCAAAGAGAGTACAAGTGAAAAATGTCCTCCTGCTGGAAAACTTTCTGACCAATCACCCTCCACCACTCCTGAGGTCCTGAGGACAAGTGGTGAAAACATCAAGGTCCAGACCGGTCACAAGAACACAACAAATAAAAATGAACCTCTGGACCAAGGTGTCATTGCGAATTTGTGAAGAAGTGCCGCAGAAGATAGCTTCTCCAGGGAACAGCTCCCCTCAGCGAATCTATCATTTATATAATCCGAAGCTTTTCACATTGAAGGATATCATGCACGTTGCCAAAACAAGCTGGAAGTCAGTAGCAAAACCCTTCTCAGCTCCAACCAAGGATGATGAGGATGAGGATGATGAAGGATTATTTGGCTTTGGTCAAGCAGAGGTTGAAGGCCCCTGCAGCTAACCTTCAGGACCAGTTGGATAGGCAACTCACTCTCCTGAACGGGTTGTAAATGTGGGATGAGATGGAAGTAGCACTGCTTACGGCTATGATCCTCACAGATGAGAAACTCCTACACCAAGCACAGACAGTGAAAAGATGGGTCTGAGCTAGGGTACAAATAGAACGTGGATACTGTGCTGTAACTGCGCTTTCCAACTACCTGGCCTAGCTGGTAACTCAGGACACTACAAAGCTCATTCAGATCACCCAACCCAGGGAAATAATGCAAGGTGCCATCAAGAAGAAACAAACACAGTAGCAGGTACAGAAGAAAGCAACTGACAATTGAAATATGATTTGAAATTGGAATATACTGCAATGTATTGTTAATTTTATCAATAAATGAAAGGAAATACTGGAGAAGTAAATATGATTTTAAGTTATAGTACTTTGAAATAAATTATATTTTAAATACTGTAATCAATCATTATCTTAAAAGAAATCTCATGTTTCTTATTTCTCATGTTCCTGTATGGGATTGTCTATCTATGGAACAGCTATAATGTGGTGTAATCTTTTAGACCCTGGGATCTGTGTTATAACAGAATTCACTGTACTACACGATGCATAATGGCAGGGGTACTAAAGTTATATCTTGTGGGCTGGGACTGACACAGATAATACCTTCATTTTCAGCCTGAATTGGCTTTCTGTCCTTGTTCACTGGGGAATAAAACTGAATTTGAGCAGGAAGCCGTATTTCCCACAATGATTTTAAAGCCCAATCCTCTTAAACTGGACAGATCACATAATGCCAAAATTTGAATTTCATTAGGAAGTGCTGATTGACTGAAGGCTTTTAAATTGGATGTGTGAATTGAACAACTGCCTCTCTCCTGTTAAGGATGATCAGTGGTGATTGGATTCCCCGAGTTTCTGGTAAGTTTGTTTTAAACTTATCTCAACAGATTGGGTGGTTTATGCTGACTCCAACTGACTCACCCGAGTAAAGGAAATGAAGATATGTTGATGCATACATTTGTAGAGCAAATGCAGAAAATTACCTACAAGACTTCCTTAATGTGACAGTATTGCTTCTTCACAAATGCTTATATATTTATTCATTTGACTTCTTCTGACATTGGTTCCTGTTTTCTGTGTTCTATAGACGCAACTGCCCACCATGACTTCAATCAATCAAAAGTGATGAGCATTTCAAGAGAAATGGTGAATTTCATCACTGATGCTACCAATGGAAAATTCCACCTTATGATTCATAAGCAGCTGTGCTATAAGAATATACCACTCAAAAATAGTACGAAGCAAACCATGGCAGAAAGTATGGTAAGTACCCAGGAAACATAAGAGTAGAAACATTTCTTAATTAGATCCATTTAGAAAGGCAGTCAGTTCAGGGATTCTTTTTAAGAGCCTTGTCCAATTAGAGAGCTTTCACAATCAGGAGGTACATTCAGTGGCGCCTATGGCTGGCCACCTTCAAAATGTGGGTGAGGGACCAGGAGAAGTGTCAGCAGCAAATTGGAGGCACCTTTGATGGGATGGGAGTGGCTGCCATTATATCACGGAAAGCTGTGTCTCGATGAACTGGCTGCCATCTGCAAGGTTAAGCATGAGAACTGGGAATGACTGGTAGGAACTGACTAAAATCCTTAATTGTTGTGCAGCTTGGACCTATTGCAATAAGTTAGCATGCTCCTGAAACGTGATCAACCTGTGTAATGCTTAAAACATGCCTTCCTCAATGAAAAAGGTCTGCTTGCTTTTTGGAAGAGTATGGGGCCAATATCATTCATGTCAGCCTCCTAGAAATCTGCCCAGAGACCACCCAAAATGCTGCTTCTAAATTTCCAGATACCCGACCTCCAAAATAATTTCGATAGGACTGAGAAAATCTCTCCCAATGTGTCCAGGTCTAAGGAACAATCATTTACATATATCATCCTCTCAATTAACATCTGCTAGTAAGGAACTTTTCTTCTGAACTGAATCTCCTTCCGGCCCTCTTTCCTCCAAATACCAAGGCTCAACTTGATAACCACTTCAGCATTAAGCTCACCAGAAAGTTTCACCACTCATTTAGGTTAAGTCACATGATTTCTTGGAAATGTTGTTTTAACCACCTCACCAAATAGATGAGATTCTGCCACTTCAAAAAAAAAGGTTACCCTCAAAGAACAAAGAACAAAGAACCAAAAACCAAAAATCATCTGCCTCAACTTT